GCTCTCATGCTCTGAACGACTGTTTCATGGATACATGGTGAGAACTGCGAAGGATTATCCATTCTTGCTAAAACAATAAAAAAATAGTTTACCGGTATTATTAGGTGGGCCCAGTAAAAAGTAATTGATTTTGACGGCCCAGCTTATCTTTGACAAAGATCTGAAGGCCCATACTTGACCAGATTACCCATCGAAAAAGTTAAAGGAAAAGTCCAAAAGATTAATTAAAAACTCGACTTTGCCCCTACAATAATCGGGAAGCAACTTAGCAACAACCCACAGCCTTTCTTCTTCCCCGAATCGCGAAGTCCATAGATTCTTTCCTTCAGAAACAAATTTGCATTTGCAGAGAAATAGTTCGATTTTAATAGCAATCATTGAAATTGAATTTGTTGTTGCCAATAAAGAATACTAAAATCCCGATTAAAAAATACTGATATGAGAATCCATCGAACGTAAATCCCTTGATTTTCAGTATATATAGAGTAGAGAAAAGAATCCGAGCTTCTAGATGCGCCTCTCCCTCTTTTCATCTATAGTAGCTTCTTATAAATCTCCAGTTTCAACCCCAACGCTGATCAAATTCAATCCCCAGCTAGTTTTTCTGAATACATTTTATCCTCATCTCCGCCGATCTTCGGCGACTGCTGCTACTGGTAGTGACTGCGCAATAACAAAAAATTCTGCTGGAATGGCGTCGGCGAGTTCAAAGCTGGCTGTAGTTGGAAATCCGAAACTCATTCCGAGGGAGTTGGATGAAGTCGTCGGCATAGCGAGGAAGTGCTGGATCAAGTTCAAGAAGGAGGCTACCTTCGGAATGTACACTCCATTTCTCGTCTGCTTGGCTGCTGGAAATCTCAAACTCGAGACGTTCAGGCATTGCGTCGCACAGGACGCTTATTTCCTCAACCCCTTCGCTCAAGCGTCAGTTCTTCCCTTTTCTTTCTCTTTTATTCCGATTCAGTCTTTTGCCTTTAATTGGTGCAATTTGTGTTTGTCTGTGGTTTGAATATCGTTCCTAGTAGCCTTCAAAAAAAAAAATATATCGTTCCTAGTATTTTCTTTTCAATCGATGGGTTTGTCTTTTTCTTTTTTATGTATAATGTATTCACAGTTAGTTCTTTTCCATTTTATTAATCAAACAAGAAATGTGAACGGATATAACTTCTTGATCCATTCTTTAACTTGTTACATTAAACATTTGTAGAAAAAATCGCCAAATTATTGGGAAGTCCTCCTGTCTGTGGGTTTCGTGTGTTATGCATACATTCTTTTAGGGATTATGTTCTTAGAGAGAAATACTCTGCTGCCTTTCTTGATATAAAATGTTAACATTGGTTAGTCTGCAAGATATCTTAAGAGTTTATTTATTTATTCATAATTCATGCTTTTTAAAAGATTGTTGCAACTTGCAAATCAATAACGGACAAAGAATTATGATGAATTACAGGTTTGAGGTAGCAGAAGATTGTGCAGAGGATGATGATGCAAAGATTGGGATTAATGAGTTGAAGAAGATTACTTTAAACAAACTCAGGATGCATGATTCTTTTGTCCAGGTAAAAAAGACCTTTATGTTTCAAGAACACCTATCACTTATTCAAGTATATTCTCATAAGTAACCCCTTTTCAGATACTAGACTAGTTCAAAAGATCTAGGGGTTTTCAAATGGTATATAGATTGTAGGCCTTGCACGTGACACTTGGCTAAACTGCTAAAGTAGACAAAAAGAGGCTTCTGCTACCTCTTATCCTTTATGTCCAATTGGGTCTCCAAAAATGGTAGAGAAAAAATTAGGAGATGAAAGTATAGAGAAAAATTGGGAGAAAAGAAAATGTAAGGGGAGATAAAAAAAAATGCTTCAAATAGAATAAATTTATATTAGATATTTGCTCTAGCTAATGCATATAAATACTTCCATACTAGAATTATTGTTCAAAAACAATTTTCCTTTGTTTTTTAATTACCCTGCCATTTTGATTTCCAAATGAAACCTTATGTATTGGAAGTGTTAAAAAAACAAAAAAAATATGGAAGTGTTGTCTTCCCTGTTGGACAATTTCACCAGTTTGCAATGAATATGGCAGGAGTGGGGGATTGATCCTGTCAAAGATACTAGTGTGAATCCAGGAACTACAAAGTGCATAGAGTTTTTATTGGCCACCGCTTCAGGAAAGATTGAAGGTGTGAAAGCTTCTGGTAAACTTGTTACTCCCTTTGAGAAAACGAAGTTGTCAGCTTATACACTTGGTGCTATGACACCTTGCATGAGCCTTTATGCCTACATCGGTAAGGAGCTACAAAGAGTTATTGATGGTGAGAGTAATCATCCGTACAGGAAGTGGATTGAGAGTTACTCCTCTGATAGTTTTCAGGTTCAGTATTTATCACATTTTTTCAACCTAAGTAATACTCCCTCTCTTTATTATTACTTGATGTTTTAGTCCTGTAAACCTGTTAGCATAAAGATATAATTGACAGAGATCCATTGGGAGTCTCAAATAACTAGTGCAAAAAAGGTGCTAGAGATGTGCAGTATCTCTTTACTGTAAACACATTGGTAATTAAAGAAAATGCTTCTCTTTCTAAAAAAATACTCCTAAAACGTTTTAGAAATAAAAACATATGTAATAAGCTAGAGCATCAAGTAAAAAACAAGGAGGTATTTATTTTATCACAAAGGTGCCAAATCTTATCTATATTTGTTGTATAGGCATTTGCATTGCAGACAGAAGAGTTGCTGGACAAGTTAAGTGTCTCTTTGACCGGGGAGGAGCTCGACATAATTGAAAAACTATATTATCAAGGGATTAAACTTGAGATTGATTTTTTCTTAGCTCAGCCACTTGTTCAGAAATCTGTTGTACCCCTCTACGGAGAGCCTAATCTAGAAAAGCGCCACCTGATGATGTTTACTGATTTTGATTTGACATGCACTACAATTGACTCGTCTGCCATTTTGGCTGAAATTGCAATTATAACAGCTCCAAAATCTGATCAAAGCCAAACAGAGAATCAAATTGCTCGTATGACATCAGGTGATCTGAAAAATACTTGGGGAGTTCTCTCCAAGAATTACACAGAAGACTATGAGCAGTGCATTGAAAACATTCTGGTCACCGAAAAAGGTAATTTTAATTTTATCTCAATTTCATTACTTGTAATATTTGATGAGGTAGTTTGTAAGATCTTTCTTATTGTATTTGTGCAGTAGAGAAGTTTGACTTCGAAGGTTTGAGAAAAGCACTTGAGCAACTTTCAGAATTTGAGAAAGGAGCAAACTTAGCAGTGGTTGAATCTGGAGTGCTTAAAGGACTTAATTTGGAAGACATAAAACGAGCTGGGGAACGGTTGATGCTCCAAGATGGCTGTGTCAATTTTTTTCAAACATTATCTGTCAGAAGAAAGGATGATAAAGTGAATGCAGATGTTCATGTGCTCTCCTATTGTTGGTGTGGTGACCTCATTAGATCTACCTTTTCATCAGGTATGTAATAGAGTTTCTTGATTTAGTAAATGCTCGTGTATATTGTCATTTCATCCGAGGTCAATTTGGATGGAGCTTTTTGGAGCGGAATATTCTCGAGGGCTTAGTGTATATCTTGATAATCTAATGTTTCTAAAAATGAATAAAGAGTGATTGAAATCTTATATGATCGCCTATAATATCATTGTCAATTTTACAAAAAAAAACTTAAATGCGGAGTATATATCAAGATATGTAGACTTAGCCCTCCAAAAACCTCCAATCCTAACTGACCATTAATGTAAATTGTGCTTCACTCACCTGCTTGTTCTAAAAATCTCCATCTAGGGGCCTAAGTGGGGCTAGGCTTTCCTTGGATGCCCAAGTTTTTAAAGCCCTGCTTGACCTCACCCTGACCCCCTAGGCTCTTGGTGCGTTTCAAGAACAATGCAATTACCATCAGAATTTTTCTGCTATTTATGTGTCAACTACACCTATAGGAGGTTTAAGGGATGTGATGAAGGTGCATGCAAATGAGCTCATATATGAAGAATCTTTATGCACGGGCGAGATGGTGAGGAAGGTGGAGTCCCCGATAGACAAGCTTCAAGCTTTCAGTGCAATCCTCCAGCAGCAGCAGGAAAAGTTTGGTGGTGGTGGCAGTGGGAATGATGAAGAGGAGAAGAAACTGACGGTTTACATTGGAGATTCGGTAGGGGACTTGCTTTGTTTACTTGAAGCAGATGTTGGGATTGTGTTGGGCTCAAGCTTAAGCCTTAGAAGATTAGGGAATCATTTTGGGGTCAGATTTGTTCCTTTGTTTCCTGGTGTGGTTGAGAAGCAGAAAGAGTATGTTGAGCGAGACCCTTCTTCATCCAGTACTACTTGGAAAGGGTTGTCTGGCATTCTTTACACTGCTTCAGGCTGGGCTGAGATACACGCTTTTCTTCTTGGCTCTTAGGTTTTTTTTTTGTGTGTGTTTCCCTGACTTGCACACCTGCCACGTTAAATCGAGAAAAAGAAATTGTTGATAGAAATGAGATATACAGCTTGAGATGGCCATTTTTATTGTGGGCCACCCTGCAACTTTTGTTCTTACTCCCTTTAGGCTACTATGCTCTGAAATGTAAATGTGAATGAATCATTTGGCTGCGCAGATATTTTGTCCTCTATAAGTGCTAGTTTGATTCAGTTCACAGTTCACAAAACGTTTGATCTATTAGGAAAGCACGTGTGACTTGGCAGCATCGCTCATTACTCTGCATAGATATTTAATTTTGGACCATTAGACCATTGTTAGCTTTTATGGCCGCGAGTCTGTTCATTTCCTTCTCTCCAATTCTTTTTCATTCTATTTCTCTAAAAAAAATAATCAAATCCCATTTTTTATTTTCCCCTACTCCACCATTTCCCCACTGTCTCACACTCTCACTCTCTCAGGGCTGTCTCCAACAAATTTGAGGTCCTAGACAATATGTTATGTAAGTAAATTACACACAAAATGCATAATGTAAAGCGAGTACTTCATATTCATTCGCAAACATGAAATTTATATGCATTTGTCAATAATGTTTGAGGAAGAATGTAGTTTTTTTCTTTTTCCTTGACCACAAAACACACAATTTTGTACGAAATAACACGTAATAATAAATAAGGAAATATTCAAGAACCGAATTGAAGCAACACTAAATATAAGCAGCCCATTTTTTCCTCAAATGCAATTACAAACTAAATATATAATAGGTAGCAATAAATACTAACTGAAAGCTGTCTAATCTCATGGGTGTCAAAAAAGTAAAAAGATTTTAAAAAAAATCATGCAAGATAAATAACAGTTTGATTTGTGAATGAGAATCAGGATGAGTCAGCAAGGCGGTACAGTGTGATTTCCTGCTGCTTAAAATACCGACGGTCTTCTTCGTCAACAAGAACAAGGTTCAAATAATATTTCACATTGAATTTATTGTTGGTGTTTCTGTAAGTTGGTGTCAACTCATACGGACTCAGGAAGAGTCTGATGGGTATGGATTCACCTGAGATAGAAAATATCAATTACCAACTCTGATCATCATCTATACATATATTTTTTATCATTCTAATTTTAAATATCAGATAACTTTAATGAAGTCTACTACAAATGTTCAAAATGCTACTAATCCTTGATGTCTTGATGATGATGGAGAGAAGACTAAAGAACTGACACTTTAGTATGGCCAAGGGTCCATTTGGAATAAGGAAAATACTATGTAACATAAAATAAGAATTAAAAAGTAAAATAGAGAGGATATTATAAAGAAAATGTAATATGGGGGTAGGGTGGGGGTCAAACTTAAAACAATCCATTTTAGTTTTTTATTCAAAGACATTTAATTAAAATGTTTCTGTTATAAACTTACATAGACTTAAAATCTTAAATATCGAGCATGTATATCTTAACCTGTTATCCTCAAATTTGATTTTTCTTCATTTTTCAAGGTAAAACAATACATAAGAGCCTGTTTGGTGATGCTTATTAGGCTGAGCTGAATAGATTAATTTGATGATTTTCTGAGAGCAAAAGCATTTGGCATAATACTCTGCTTATTTGATTTGTTCTACCAAAAAGCCTAACCAGGATACCAAACAGGATTAAAAAACAATGTTCCTTTCTATTTTCATCCATCTTCCTGGCTCAAAACATAGCCTAAAGATCCTAAAAACTAAAAACAAGGGTAAGTACGGAGCATCATTTCGCATTTCTAATCAGTAATCCCATGAAACCTGAGGGTAGTATATATATGTATACCTCTGACAGGAGCACCATCCATCAACTCAAACTTTGCCAGGGTCTCTGTCTCAACATGAGTGTTCACCCCTGAACCTGTAGATTCTCTTCGCCTGATCTCAAGATCCATATTTTTTATCTTTATTCGCACGAGAAGGAAATATATTTTTCCTATAATAACATCTTTCAAATGATACCTGTGTTTATAGAAAGTTTTAGTTGCAATGAGATTTAGTGTGAGTCATGTTACAGAAATATGCTAATTGCATACAGTTACCCAACTAATTACACACAAGAATTAACCCCCCCCACCCCCCAATGAACTTCATCAGCTCCAAAAGAAAGTCTTGTTTCTATAACTTTTTACATCCCAAAGAAAAGAGAGATCGGTTTAGAAGTAAACTTTCATTTTTTAATAAAACCCCTCTCTGAATCCAAACCGCGGACGAGTTTAGCCAATATATTGAGGGGTATGAATAAATACCCCTCAATCTAAAAAAAAGATGCACATTACTCAAGTGAGACTCTTTTTCGGGGGTGGGGGGGTGGGGGTGGGACCGGTGGGACCGGTGGGTAGTAAAAAGTAGAAACCAACAAAAAAGTTTGAAGCACCCAAAACAAAACTCTATTTATAGGAATGCAGCATTGTAAATTTAACTTACTTGCTCTTGTTGTACTCAAATTCAATATGAAGACAATCTTCAATACCAACTTCCATCTACACAGTGTTGAAAGAATGAATATGAATAAAGTTTATAGCTCTGTTTGTCCTAGCAGTGGAAGCTATTTTGAGTTAAAGTACTTCTTCGTAAGTGTTTTAGTTAAAATTGTGGTTGGATAGAAGAGGTTGAATATTTGACCTAACTGATTAAATGTATTTAGCATAATAATGGTAAAGAACTAAAGATCATAATTAAGTAGTGTGATCAAGTAAAATAACTTTTCGTAGCGGGCTAAACATAATATGAGTGCACTTTTAGACCTCTATAGCATATATAGCTTTTAGAATTATGGGTCCTCTATATGTGTGCACTTTTAGACCTCTAAAAGCTAGGCCAAGCGGATACTAGCTGGTCATCCCAGAGGTTTAATGTATACAATAATAAATGATTAATGTAGACTTCTTTCAATGTGCAAATGTCCATAAACTTTCAATTAAACAACTATCATGAGTGCACATTGTTGACATAATAGTACCTTAATACTATTGTTAATTGATGGAGGTATGCTATAGTTCCGCACCTGATTCATAAATGTCAACATAATTAAAGACCAGACAATAATCATGCCAGGTGAATAACAACAAAGGGAAAAAAAATAAAATACTCCCTCCGTCCTATTGGACTTTGCCAACTTTCCCTTTTTGGTTGTCCCAAAAAAGTTTGTCACTTTCCTATTTAAGCAACTAATTTGTGGTTCTACACATTTCTCTCTCCTCTATACAAATTTCAACCATATAGTTTTTACTATTCTTATTTCTCACCTACTTTGCACTTGACAAAGTCTACCGGGACGGAGGTAGTAAATCAATACGATAATCCCGAACTTACAAGAAATTTCCAAAGTATAGCATGCAAAATGAAAATAATTTAAAACAAAACATTCTTCTATCAGGGCTTAGGGTAATAGTTAAATTTCCATATACGTTCATAATTATCTTATGTGGTAAACAATCCATAATGAACAAAGAATGCCCTTTTGACTGAGTGATTTAGTCAGTAAAAACTAATAGGGTACAGGGGCAGAGCAAGCCGAACATTTTAAAAACTACATAGTACGTATATATAATTGTTATGTACTATCCTAGTATACTACGCTCCCCATCAACCACCGGTGCACAATGGATGATAACTATATAGTGTTCTTTTCGAGCTATAAAATTAGTCATACTTGAATATTTGATAATTTGATTAATGTAAATATTTAATGTTGACAGATGTACAATTGTTATAAATCATAGGTGAGACTTATATCTAGAAACTCTGCTGACAGTTTAACTAAATATAAAATATTGGCCATGTTTGTATTCCTCTTTCTAGCCAACTTTTTCAAATGTTATTGTAATTTGATAAAAAGGTCCTCTTTTAGTTACAGAAAAACTTTTCAAACTTTTCCATCTGACGGAGACAGCGCTATTTGAATGCCTCCCTATATGCAATTCTTGGCTCCATCCCTGGAAGGCTATATTAAATGTATTAACATACATAGTCATGATATACTGTTAGAACATGCATTGAATTTTGGTAAACACAGCTTGAGGTTATCAAAGTGAAGGGAAGAAGAACAAAAAAGCATATATTACCACAAAGTCCTGGTACTCCACTATGCTGCCACCATAGCTTCGACTGATTGTCACTTTGAGGATGTACCTATATGAGCATTGAGTTAAACTCCAGAAACTAGTTTGCTAAAAAATTGTCCTATAAAATAGAAATTAAAAAAATATATAAATCTTTATTTTGAATTATCTAGTTTAAGATTTCCACAAGACTATTCTACTTAAGGCAGACAATTAATGTTTTCTACTTTACTATAAGAAGTATAAGAGTAGAAAAGAAGGTATATATGAAGTGAAAGTACTACTAAAGACATGGGCAAAAGATGTCTCAACATATTATAGTATGAAAACATACCTAAGACGAACATTTGTTCCATTATATGCTTCATACGGCATTTCAACAGTTGAAAATTCAAATGGGTATGTTTTCCTTTCGTATAATTCACCTGGAACATCTAGCTCCCGAACTACAAGGGTTGAATCAGACATTAAATATGAAAACCGAAATACATATTTTAGCATGTTTGACTATGAAATATTGAAATGACATTCAAAGAGCTCAATATGGTGATGAGAAACAGCTAATGAGAACCAATGGAGAATAAGAAATAATGTCAAATGGGTAATAACTAAAAAATAAAACAGGAAGTATACCAAGATATGGTGGATCAATCCCAGTTCATTAATTAAGCAATTGAATAATGGTACTCACCCAGAGACGTAAAGTCATAGAAGTTCCCTTTATCAAAGTACATTTCTGCAATGAAAAAACAAATAAAAGCAACAATAAGGATAAAAAGAAGAAGCATGATAACGTATTTTATCCTTCTAGCCTGCATACGAAGAAGGCGAGAAGGAGAAAACACATTTTACTACTTTTGAATTCAGAAATAACAGAAGCATGAAATATTATAAAACATGGGTTAAGCCCAACCTATCTGACCAAGCAGCTCGACTTTGATACCATTGTGTTCAACCTTCTTTCCTGATACTGGTTCAATTGATATCTAACAGAACATCAGAAATCATAATTTCAAATTAATTGATAATATGTGTTTGGAATGAATCAAACAGAAATGAAGGTGGGATATATTCTAGAATACCTTCCCAACAATATTTTCTTGACTTTGGAAGAGGGGGACCATTACCGTTTGGCCATTTTCCTTTTTCATTGGGACCTGAGACAACAAGCAAATGATGGAAACAAATTACTGAGAAGCATACTGCGCCAGTTCAGCATGATCAACTAACAAAAACTAGAAATAAGATCTTGGGGTATATAGATATTAATATAATGAGTTTCAAGATACATAGTGATTAAAATTCTGATAATGCCATTAGATCCCAAAATCCCACAACTATCATTTAATCCACCCCTCAGGATTTACTGGTTTATACAAAGTATATTTCTTCATCAATTTATCCATATTGAGTAAATATATTAATTAGATATGAATCAGTAAAGATTACAACTTTGCTAGCCTAAAAAGATAAATATACCTGCTTGCGTGACTTCCCATCTGAAAATGTGATTACAATGTGGCATGCTGGCTTAAAAGCTCCAAGGATGTAATTCTGCAGAAAGAAGTGTCACCAATGCAATTATGCAACGCCACAATGTAGAAGAATTGAGATAGTAAGAGCAAGTAAACTTCTCAGAATTGTAACAATAAACAGTTTTATGAAGCAATTACCATGCTATTAAAGAATGATCTACTCCACAGTAAATCTTCAAATTACCTGCAACTGTGACTGGTCAAGACTCAAGATTAACCCATGGCATACTAATATGAATGCTGGCATTTCAGAAAACTAAAGCCTACTCCGTACATAATATGAATTGAAAATTTTCAGCAATAAATAGCAACACCAGTCAATTCCTCCAATAGTACAACAACGATCAGTTAAATCACGCAAAACCAACATTTAATATTACTCGTAGTTATTAAAAAAGTAGAGTACCCAAGCTTCTAGAATCAAAATTCCTAGGGAAATCGGTTGGTTTGCTCAATTGCTCATGATCAGTGTAAGTAACCGTAATCGTAGTGTTGTCTCATCGGACGAGATATTCTAAGTGCAAGAAGTGGAGAAGTAGAAGTAAAGAGCCATACCTGGATTGTGACGATTGTCGATCGAATCGAGGAAGTTGGTTCAGAGTTTCAGACTACAGAGGGTAGTTTCGATTTTTAGACATCTCTGAGTTTTCTCGGACGACTTCTGTTGTTTGTCTTAAAAATAAGTACAGGGTTTTCATGTTTTCTGAGTTATGTTTTCAATAACTGTAATATTGAATCAGACATAAACTGGAGAAATTTGTTGATTTAGTCCTGTAACTTATACCTATACCCGATATCGGTATTGTAACTTTAGTAACTTGCAAATTACATCCTGTAACTAATAAGTTGGTGCAAATTTGGTCCTTCTCTGCCGGAACTTACTAATTTCGTCGGAAAAAGACACATCACCTGCTAGATTGGTATATTATTTAGAACTCATTTGCTGACTCAACATTGGCCCATAGGTGGGTCTGCCCATTCAAAAAATCCGCAACCTCTTTCTCTTTTGAATTGAGTCTTCTAAGCAATCCCGGAATTATCATTGTTGTACGATGACACATAGTTGGGTCCGCCTATTCAAAAAATCTGCAACCTTCTGTCTGCATCAAAATAATATGAAGCTTAGCTTACTTTTTACTGCTTTGAACACAAAAATACATGATCAAATGCCCCCAACAAATAGAAGATATTACTTTTATTAGCAGAACCTAGCTTAAAATTTAAATACATTTTAATTTTCAAACACATTTATTATACGAATGCTATTCTTAAATTTCTAGTTTATTTAGTAAAAATAGAAGCAAACACTAAATTAAAAAGCTGAACTTCTTGCTTCTAGCACACACACGAAACCTCCTTTTGGGATTGTTATCAGTCTAAGAAGTTAGAAGACAAACCTTTTTACCACAATCACACTCCATAAACTATTGCCTGATCGAGAGCCATTACTAGCAAATTTGAAGAATAACTCACTCTCTCGACTTAGTTCAAGAGAAATCTCTGGATAGGGTTATGTGCTTTTTCCCCCTTTTACATATCCGATAATAGGCTTGGTATGGTTGTGCGCACACTAAATGAAGAGCTTTCATACAATCATTTTTTAACTCCAGCTAAGGGCCAATGTTGAGTCAGCAAATGAGTACCAAATAATATACCATCTGGCAGGTGATGTGTCTTTTTCCGGTGAAATTAGTAAGTTCTGGCAGAGAAGGACCAAAATTGCACCAACTTATTAGTTACGGGATGTAATCTGCAAGTTACTAAAGTTACAGGACCGATATCGGATATAGCTATAAGTTACGGGACTAAATCAACAAATTTCTCGGATAAACTGGGATAAGCTCAGAATTGAATTCGGGATCTTCTGAATTGCTGAAATTTGGCTGATTTGCTAAAATTTATGAATGAAAAATTTATTTTTAAAATATATTTTGTTAATAAAATAGAGAAAAAAAATATGTAAAAATAGCTAAAATAATTATTTACGTTAACTTCAGTCAATATGGACAGAAAAGTAACTCCAACTTTACTTTTTCTGTTTATTACATAATTCTGCAAGTGAAAGCAAAAACTACGTGTTTGGTGAAAAAACTGGCTGATAAGCCAAAAAACAGTGTTCCCAAATGCCCTCTAAGGGCCTGTTTGGATGGAGTGTTTGGAAGTGTTAGTAATGGAAAAAAGGATGACACCCCATCCCTGAGGGCCCCCCAACACCGACCGGACGACACGATGGGAGGATGTAAATTGGACTATAATCACAATCTGACAGATAGAGAGTGGAGCTCTGTCCCCGGTACTTGCAGAAGCCCTATGCATTTTTCAGCATAGTAACCCCTCATCGCAGTTGCCGGGATTTGAACCCGAGACCTAACCCTTGTGGCACTCCCTTGTTACCAGTTGAGCTACGCCCACCGGTGTTAGTAATGGAAGTGTTAGTAAGTGTTAGTAAGGGCTCGGAAGGGAAGGGAAGTGTAAGTGTTAGACATAATTTTACCTTGTTTGGGAGAGTCAAATGAATGAAGTGTTAATAATGGAAGTGTTAAAGAAAGAGTAAAGAAAGAGTAAAGAGAAGAGATGAAAAAACAAACCATCAGACCCGTGGGAAAGACATTCGAAGTGAAATGTCGAAGCATTTTATGTTTTTCGGGCAAACGAGAAGGGTAATAATTGTCCAACACCTCAAAACACTCCAAATCGGGGTGTTAAAAAAATGGACAATTGAGGTGTTGAGAAGGTTATTATTAACACTCTCTAACCATTACTAACACTTCTTAACACCTCCAGTTTTTTCTCTCAAACAAGCGTTACCATCAACACTTACTAACACTTCCATTACTAACACTCTTCAACACTCAATCCAAACAGACCGTAAGTGCATGTTTGGCTGGCATTGTTGCATAAAATTCTATGCCTTTTAGTTTTTATGCTATTCAAAAAGTTTCTAAAATCTTCTAGTTGTTTCTTTGTAATAACAATTTTTAAGAGCTTTTCGAAAAATAAAAGATATTTTTTGAGAGAAAAGAATGTAGGTTTTAGCATTAATTAATCCTAACAGCTTGCAAACCAAACAGAACTAAATCAAACAGTCAGCTTTTTACCAAAAAGCTACCACATTTTTCATTTAAGATCTTTTCAGTCACTAAAAACCAACGGTTATAAAAAAATTCAAATTTTTTTTAAAACTAATTGTGGCAAATATACCCTAACTTCCCATTTAAATTAAATTTGTCACTAAAAAATACAATTATTTAATTATTTAAATAATAATTCTTGTCAAAAAACTATTTAAATAGTAGTAATAAATAAATAAAGTAATTTGGGTATATTTTGAGAATTAGATTTGATGACTATACATGTATATATAATATTATCTACGTTCTCTTTTAAATTTTAATTGCAACATTGGACTTTTTGCACTATTCACATGATATACTTTGACTATATTTTATTTATTAATGTATCAAAAATTAAATTTTCAAAAAAATTTTAAATTCCTCTCATTTTAAATTTTCAAAATATGAATTTTTTAACCTTTTTATTAATAATGAATGAAAGATATTAATGGTCAAATTTTTGTGTTCGCAAGCGTGAAAGTAGACCGTTGCAATTAAAAAAGAACGGATGGAGTATAATGTAACAGGTCATTAATGATAAGTTAATACTATAAATGTTTTTATTTTTGATGCTCAATGACTAAATATTATTTAAGAGCGGTAATTATTTTTTAACAAAGAAATTGCGAAATTTTAAATGGAGCATTCAAAAAGACAAATCAGAACCTTTTACCAAAGGTGTATTATGGCACTTTGATCCTTCACTCTTTTCTTGTTCTTTAACCAAAAAGATGGAGTCGTCCATCATCTCAAGTGTTTGCATTCCAACTCGGCATAATGGACGAGTGTATAAAGGTATGGTCTCAAACATTTTTTTTGAAAAAAAAAAATTCAACCTTGCAAAAAAAAAAAAACTCGATTAGTGACTGGTAAGTTTAAGGAACTTATACCTTAGTCCATAGATTGAATTTAATACTTTAATCCAAGCAAAAAAGTCTTTTGTATACACTTTTATAGTTTTACTTGTGAGAGAGAGAAAAATTTCATAGATAACGTGTAGTAATGTGTAAACAGTAAAGTGTGCAGAACAAAAATTGTTGTAATTCAAGTGCCTCAATTCTTGTGGGAACTTGGGAGGTAAGCAATGTAGCCGGTATATTAAAGACAATTTGATGTTAAATGATCATTATAAATTTGAAGATTAAAAGTTGAATCTTCTTTATCATAACAGAGAGCAATTATCATGTATCTTCTGAGAAAAAATGAAGGGAAAAGGGGCAAATAAGCCCTCGAACTAACCGAAAAAATGCAAATCATTTCTTTTTATAGGAGACTCTGTCCGGCCGTCGCCATTTGGGGCGGTTTCCAATTTAATTTTTTGATGAATATTTTTGAGCATTAAGTCTAGTTTACCCATACCAAATTTTTGAATGTTTGAAGATAACTGCGCAGTTAAACAGCACAGTATATTTCAGAAAATCATTTGACTACCTTCTTGTTTGAATTTTTAGCTAAAATTTGGTATGGGTAAACTAGACTTAATGAAGAAGATTTTCAAAAAAATCATCAAAAACTTCCACCGGGAACCGCCCCAAATGACGACTGGACAAAGCCTCCTATAAAAGGGGTGATTTGCACTTTTTCGGTTAGTTCGAGGGCTTATTTGCATCTTTTCCCAAAAAATGAATACAGAGAAAATACTTATCAAAACATGAGGAAATAATCTTATTTTTATTTTGTAGAGATATGGTCACATTAAAAAATGCATCATCTCATTTCTGTAAGGTGTTAGAGACTGTATAACCAAGCTCATTCCGTAGAAATTTTTTGGGTCCTTTTGTATATGGGCCGCGAGTTTTGTACTGCTTGGGCCGCGCGTCCTATTAGTATTGGGGTTAGGTTTTACTTTCTATAGTAACATCCTGATTTGGTAGTACCCCAGACGTAATCGTTTGTGGCAAACTAGATTACCAAATTTCGCGTGTTTAATTCCTAACCATTTCGTGGAAATGGGCACACTCAGTATGCAATCCAATGACTTACACTTACCATTCCTAATTCAAAGTGTATATTAGAGCATCTCCAATGCTATAACGTGCACGATGCACACGTGGCATGAGAGATGACCACATAAATATTAGTACATAAATTCTTTCTCTCCTTATTTAAATGATTTTATATAGTTTTGGTAAGTTTTTCTCCACAATGTCAAGGAGACCGTCTAGATGTTGACATTGTTGTTGATATTGCAGGAAAAAACTTACCAAAATTGTATAAAATCATTTAAATAAGGAGAGAGATAATTTATTTGCTAATATTTATGTGGCTATGACTCATGCCACATGTGCACCGTGCACATTAGAGCATTGAAGATGCTCTTAAGGTGATGGCAAGGTAGATTATAATCGAAGTTTTTTTTAAATCAATCACCACAAATTTCTATGGTCTATGCAATGATTCAACCAGGTGAAACTTAAGTTATGACAACTAATTGCTCTCTCTGCAAATTGAATTACTCTCTCAAAATGAATTGAAATATGTGGTTGTTATTTGTTATGGTTAACAGATCAATTTTAATAAATAAAATTCACTAGGGGTGGGCATAAAACTCAAACCGAACCGGTACCGAACCGGTCCGTTATGGTACCGAATCGAATATCGGATATATAAATGATTTTATAGTTTT